CTTTTGAGTATATATATATATATATATATATATATATAATTTAGTCCATTTGTCCATTCTTTTCACTTGTTTTGTATGAGAAGTGGAGATGGAAAAAAATCTAATTTTCCCGCCTTGAAAAAATTCAATCATTCATTAACCAAACTAGGACTTTCTCATATGCGACTTCAATTCATGTAAGCTTCATTGCATTCTTTTTTTTATTTATTTCAATTTTGTGTTCTATTATTTTTCACCTATGTTTGGACATTGGGCATAGCTCATTGCATTGAATGATGTTGTTACCTATTTATAGGTTAAATTCTATATCACACTAAGCTATGCACTTATAGAACCAAGAGCTTGCATGAATTATTCTTAATGGAAAACAAATAATTCAAGTATCATAGTTTCGGACAAGTTCAAGAAAGACTGTTTACATTTACAAAAAAAAAATGACAAATTAAGGAACTTCAATCACACCTAAGTGTCAAACAAAATAAATATCATTAACCAAAAAATGCTTATCCAACCATCCGTTGTTTTTTTACTTCTTTTCTTTTTATTATCTCTTACTTAACAATTTCCTGTTTCTACCTATTCTTTAGCTATAATCTAACATTGATAAGGGACTTATTCCCTATACATCAGTTTTGCATATTGAACCTCAACTTTTATGGGAAAAGAATGTTATGATTGTAGTTCATAGGAATTCATTATCATGTATCTTGACAAATTAGTTTTCTGATAGATGATTGTAATGTTTCGATTTATCTTGGGCTCTTAACTAAGTTTGCATACAACACCATATAGTCATTTTTTTTATTATTTGTTTCAATCTCAACAATTTTTCAACTTATTTCATGTCGTGAATTTAGACCTGAATTCTTATTTTCATATAGGGGAGATTCAATAGGAGGGATATGACTTATTAAAAAATTAGTTTATCCTTTTATTAGGATATGCAATTTATATTAAGGATATGGGTTAATTAAGTTAGATTAGGTCGAACTTATTCTTTCTCACACTTAATCTGAATGTTTAATCGAATCATTTTTTAGAACTTAAATAAACTCAATCAAGACGCGAAAATATATGAGATAAGATTGAGTTGATTGACTATGTTAAATTATTAATTTTAACATTATGTATGAATAGTTAAATTGTAAAATATAAAAAAGTATAAAACTTAAATTAAGATATACTTTACAATATATATATATATATATATATTCAATCAAATAATTTCATTATAAATATAGTATCATATTTAAAAAAAAATATTAATAACTAAATAATTTTTATCATTAATGTTTAATAATTAAAAAATTTATACTTTTAAGAAAATATTATATATAAAATCATATTAGATAACTCAAAACGTAACTTAAACTCGGTGCTTAAAAATTTTAAGTAGTTCAAATTCACCTTAAACTAGTCCCACCTATGCATTCCATTCATTTGTAACATCATTTCCATTTAGGGCTCTTCAACTAAACTTTTAAACCATGGTTCATAAGATTAGTGCTTTGTTAGACACAAGCTAGTGTCATATTCTTGCATTTGTCCTAACAAGATTTTTTGTTACAGTAAGTGTTCTCTCTAAGAAGTGGAACCCTCTTAAGCACTTGGTTCTCTCTCTTTATTTTGACTTTGACTTAGAGTTTGGTATACAAATTTAAAAATGTTTTTGAGAGTTTTTTTTATAACAAAGAGTATTTTTATTTTTTTAGTAGAAAAACTCTCAAAACACTTCTAATTTTAACTAAAATCATAATTTGTTGAACTCCTTGGGATCACTAATATTGTGAGCTTGCAAATTATACATTTATTTTTTCCTAACAATGAAAATATTGATGGAGAGTTTAAAATCCTACACAAGTTTTGCAATCTAACCTATATTGAATTAGGTTATATATGGATAAACATGTTAGAAATGCTCAAGAATTCTCCCCAGCTTCAGAGTTTGGCTATTTATCAGGTTTGTCTAATTTAATATATTTTTTTTTCCACCCACATATTTTTACTAATTTTATGTTATTTGTATTGTTAGTGTTGTGGTATTGAAGATGGTTTGCAATTTCTACCATCTCTTAGTGAATGTACAATGTTGTTGCATACTATGTTTAGGGTAATAATGAACCAAAGAATCTAAAAAATAATTGAAACTTGATTTAATAATTAACTGAACTTGATTCATGAATCAAATTTGTTAAATTTAAGCTAAAAATTGAACTTGATAAAAAAAAATGAATTAGACAAAAGTTGTGCATAAATTAATTTGTTTAATTCATGAGTGGACTTGACATATAAATATATTATTTATGTAATTAATTTTCTATTTAGTTTTAGCTTATTAAAATTTGAAAAAAAAATTCAAATCTTAATTATAAATTAATAATAATAATAATAATAATAATAATAATAATAAATAAAAATAAAGGTAAACACTTTAAAATTTCACGATTAGATTTTTTATTAAAACAGTTGTCCAATAATAACATACACCGATAATAGGTGAACCATTTTGATATCTTTGGGAGGTCATCTTGATTTGTATTAATACCTGGTAACACCGCTGTCAATGGTATCGATGAAACTTATTTGACACGAAATTCAAGTGCCGTATAAATAGCTAACTGTTGTAAATTATCCAATAGATTACACTTGCAGGACAAAAAACGCTCAAATAAAATCTCTAAAACACCTACTCGAGTTCGAGTCCAAACAAATTCCACCAAGAAAATGATAGGGAAACCCAATAAAAAAAAATATATAAAAAAAAGCAAATATTTAAAGTATACTGTACAAAAAAAAAAAAAAAAAAAAACTTAAACAAGATACGGCAATAACATGGCCAAGTTGTGTTAGTCATGCCTTCCAGCCGAAACCCATGTTATCATCAAGATCACTGTTAAACAAGGGGTTATCCGAGAACTCATGGCTAATATCTTGCAAATGCAGATTTTGTGGCATCTCAGATGTTCTCGAGTTGAATCCATTGTTGCCACCAGCTGCAGAAGAATCACCGTTTGAAACTGTTTTGAAGCTATTATTCCTTGAAACGGGACCATTGTTTCCTGAAACATTTGCAGAACCTCCTCCGCTTACTGTTGGAGTATGCCCCCCAAAAACCAATGCATTCTTCGCCATATTCCCATTTGCATTGGGTCCACCAAGAGATTGTGGTTGCATTCCCCCATTGTTATTTGACATCTCCTGCAGCATTTGCTGGATCATTTGCTGCTGCTGTAGAGCTTGATTTCCTTGGGACCCCTGCGAAGCATTTTGTTGCAATAAACTATTTGCACTTAATGTGCGTTGTTGAAGGAGTTGCTGCTGCTGCTGTGGGGTTAGATGGGGACTTGGAAAACCACTACGAGGAGAATTCTGCATTGAACCTGGAATTAAAGCAGGGCCAGATCCCTGAAGAGCAGAAGAGGGACTCGGGCTTGAATTACTGAAAGAGGAACCTTCTCGCTGAAGTGAGCCAGGGCTGGAATTCGTAGAATTTTGCCTCATGAGAAGATTCTGGTAGTTGGTCAGTGCTAAAGCAGCTTGGGCTGACCCACTCAAAGCACCACGATTAACCATATTATGATTGTTGTTTATATGATTGTTAGATCCAGGATTCAATGCCATTAACTTATTAAGTGTGTTTCGATCAGTTGGCAGACCTTGAACATTTGCTATATGTTCCATTTCCTGCATCTTTTGCATCTGGAGCTTTGAGGCTGTTGCAAGTCGAGGATAGTTTTTCAAGCTCTCTACAGATAAATATGTTGGATCAATATACAAAGGCCAATGACAATATGAAAATATATTCCAAATGCCTAAAATAGAAACAGCTTCGTACAACTAAAGAATAGGAGTAAAGAGAAAAAGATGACACAAAAACCACAAGAAAATTACCGATTGCCCCAATTTTGTGCTCTGCACAGATATCTATTAGGTCTTTCATGCTATTGACAACCTCCGAAATCTGTCAAGTATTGCAGCAGGCAATTATAAGGATTGATAAAATATATAAAAAAAGAAATGAATATTTCTCTCTATACTACTCGACACTAAACAGAAACTTTAAACTGGAATTTAATAGCATACCTGCAGACATCTCACATATCTTTTAGAAAAGCCCAAGTCATTTAGAGATTGCAACTCCCAAATCTTCGCAAGCTGACGCCCAGCTGTCAATACCCTGATGCAAAACAAACATTATTTTAAGCATTAGTCCACACTCATTTTAGTTGTTAACTGATACCATCCTTCCCCCCACCAAACAAATCAATAAACACAATAAATATACTTTTCTTAATAATTGAACTAGTAAATGTCAAAGACTGGTTTAACCCAACATTTTATAACCTAGCGAAGTTTATAAAAGACCCAACAAAAGAAAATGGGGTTTTCTTATGGTGACAACAAGAGAATATGGTTAACAAAAAACAAGCAATATCTCAAATTCTAATATGTTTAAGATAGTTTTGAATAACATCCTGGTCAAAATTTGACTACATGACTTAAAATTCTCTGTATGTAAAAAACAAAAAAAGATTTCTGTAAAGCACCAAAATACAAGAAGGTATCCCAACAAAGGAAAATCTTATACTACAACATCCCATAAGGTGTGTAGTCAAGAGATACATATCAACTAAGATTTAATAAATACACCAATCACTAAGGGAAAAAAATACATTAACTTACATGTTGCTGTTAGTTTGTAAGTCTTGCTGAGAAACCCCATCCGCCCCACTTTCAGCGATTGTACTCTGGCATTTTTGAGCTACCTGAACTAATTGGTTGACCTACAAAAGTGTGAATTATATAAATTAGCGTCCAAAACAATACACCTACAAAGCCATACCAATTAACTTTCCTTCAGACAGTTGAGCATTATTTTGAGGCCTTCAAACACCTAGTACCTTATGGGTAATAATTAACACCTTAAATTCCTTGATCACCAGATCCACTTCATAAAATAAGAAAGTTTACTTAACGCACACCAATTTCCATACCCAAATGTCCATATTAGTATATTACTACTATCACCACTCAGCGATTATCATGGGTGCATACAATCATGAGAAATATGATGCAAAGAATACAAACAAACAAGGAGCTAGTCATACAATCATTTAAGCATACAAAATTTTTTCTGCAGAAGTATTCCAAACATGCAAAGTAAACCAAAATAGACCCAACTGTCAATTACAACCAGAAATATTCTGCCAAATAGCACTATCATCTATTCGAGATCTGAGGGTTTTGTCCAAATCTTGCATTTCTGAAGTTTCTAAGGTAAGGGTAGTACTTATAAGACTTAATCTGGTGTGTATGGGTTTGAAATATCACATTGATTCCATTTTTTAGGCATGATTGAGGCTGGATTGAGTGGAAAGGGTTTTGGTAGGGTTTCCCTATGATTTCCATGTATTAATGTTGCTCCATAAGGTTTCCATAACATCCACTATCCAAGTACCATTGCCCTTTCTTGTTGTTATGTAATGGAAATTCCTGCATCAGAAAGTAAAAGGATTTAGGTACCTATACTTTGCTAGGTCCTTTTATGTTAGTTACCTTTTTGTTAACCATGTTCCTTTTCTAGTAACAATCTGATGTTAATGTCCCTATTTGTTACAATTAGAACATTTCTTTTTGGCTTTTCTATTTTTAGGTTTGTTATACACAACCTTTCTTTGATATTCTCTAAAGCCCAAGCCAGTTCTATCTTGGAAATGTCTTTGGTCACCTATCAATCTATCAAAAATTTTCTTTCGATGCACAAAGTTTGATAAATCTTTTGTCAATGTGTTAACTTTGAGTTTGATAAATCTATTTTTATTTTCTATTTGATGAAAAAATTTCATTTCCTTAGTGATCTTTTTTAATTGTTTAGGCATACTAAAGTGAGTGTCTCTTAGACAAATGTTTCTCTTATTTAGAATTTCATTGTTTAAGGAGAGCTTCTCATTTTCCTTCTAAGTAATTAAAAGTTTCCTTTTCAAAGAGGCACATTTCTAACCTAGAAGATTTGAATCATTCAACAGATTATCAAAATCAATTTCTAACTCTTTTATCATTAGTGAAATTAGGTTCAGATTCATATGCGTGTTCTTTGTCTGAATCTACTATCAAGCATAGATTTTCTACTAGTTCATCATTTCCATCAAAAAAAGGAGCTTTCTAAGTCATTCCATGCGACCATCATGGTTTTCTTCTTTACTTTTTTATCATTCTTTTTGAGGTGTTAACATTCTAATTTGTAATGTCCTAATTTATTACATTTATAAAATTTAATATAGATCTCGGATATTTCCCTAGTTAGTGATTCCTTTTTGAAAGAGATTATTCTCATTCCTTTCATTCTTCTAAGTAATCTTTGTACTCTTCTGATTGGAAGGGCTAGTTCATTATCACTTGATTCATTACTAACTGATTCTTTTAATTAAATTTCCTTTACAAATTTTAATGTCTTTTCCTTTTGACTAACTTTCAGGGCTACAATCTTTCCTTTAGGTTAAAGATTTTTTTTGCAACTCTTGTTCATGAACTTTAAGTGATACTATCTGTCGGAACCCCAAAAATTCTAATCTTGCCCACAGATGGTTTAGACTTCCTTTTTGAAAATTTCATTCGTTAAGGAATGCTTGAAAACTAGACTAATCTCTAAATAATGGTTTTAGAAAAGAGTTTGAAGGAGTCGCCACCGATGTTTTACTCAAAATATAAAAAAAAGATTTTTAAAATGACCTTAATGGCCTTCATAACAAAATTGGGTTCAATGGTCGATTACTTATAAGGAATGTATTAGATCTAACGACCTGCCATAGGCCATCACATCAACAACCAATAAGATAACTAAAATAAAATAATATATATTAAAGAAAATAGAGCAAAGGTTAGCTACACTAGAGTGTAAATATAAAACGTAGAAATTGTTTTCATCATATAAAACATAATTTTATAAAAGGGTCATTATCAGTAGGGTTATAAAGTCATCCAAAAAGATAATGAATGTACAACATCGTGAAAGTATCAAAATAAGACACCCTAGGTGCTGGTCAAGCTCTAAGTCTAGCCACTTCTTAAAGTAGTTACCCAAAAAGACTCCTTGCCATCCCAAAGCCTCACACCTGATCTACTCCCCCACATAATGAGATCATCACAGTCCACATCATGGAAATATAAGAGTTAGCACGTATAAAACCAACCATAGTACAACATAATGAAATATCATTAAACTAGATATTCATCAACAGTATGTATCCATACCAAGGGATGACAATATTATAACAAGTCATTTCCATGCCAAATATAAACCAATCCAAAATCCAATGTATACACATCCATGCCAATGCATACATATTCTATGATAATAAAGAATCCATAACCAATGTATACAATCCATATCAAATGCATACATATTCCACATCCAAACCAAAGTCACACCACTGTATAATCCCATGAAGTAGCCAAGACATCCAAACCAAATGTTGGCCTCAACACATCCAAACCAAGTGTTGAATTTGTGAGAATGTCACCTGCCCATGTCACACACCTCTCCTCTCATGGAAAATATACAGCTATAACCAATGCTAACAACTTGACCCCTGTTCACTAAAACAGTCATATCTGGAGTTCTAGACCTCCTTTTTGGGTGATTCTAACGCCATTGGAAAGCTAACATCCAAGGCTACAACTTTCATGAAAACTTAAAGACCAACATACTCACACCCGGCGCACTAATATCCCAACTGGCGCAAAACTCAACCAGAGACCTACAGAGGTCTCAGCGCCCGGCGCAATTATCCTGCGCCCGGTGCAATATCAGTAACCAAAACACAAGAACCACTTATGATAGTGCGCCCGACATGGTTCTCCCCATGCCCGACGTGATTCACCCAGGGATTCATATTTCAAAATGCGCCCGGCGCAACTAGCCTCGCGCACGGCGTGATTTGGCAATGGTGGTCCCTAATAATTCACACCCAGCGCCAAGAACTGCGTCCGACGTATTTACTACCAGAAACCCCTGAAAACCTCAAAAATTCCTTCCAATCATGAATCTAATCCAAATTACATGAGTTCGAACCATTATAAAGCATAAACAATGTCCAAAAACAACATTTTAAGCAATAAAATTGAGTATTAACCATTAATACATGGAAATCATAGGGAAACCCTACCAAAACCCTTTCCACTCAATCCAGCCTCAATCATGCCTAAAAAATGGAATCAATGTGATATTTCAAACCCATACACACCAGATTAAGTCTTATAAGTACTACCCTTACCTTAGAAACTTCAGAAATGCAAGATTTGGACAAAACCCTCAGATCTCAACTCAAACTTTAATCCCCTTTTTAAGGCTTTAGAGGCCAAATTTCTTGAAACTCCAGTTGTGAAGATTGATCCTAGCTTGATAAACTTCCCATTCCGATACATTATTTGTATCTCGATTCAACTACCATGATTCAAACTATAAAGTAACAGAAAAAAATGGAATAGAGGAATCTAAAGAATGCTATGTCATACCTGAGGTGCAACCAGCCTTCGAGGAAGAAGTTCTTCATGGCGCCTTGCACAGAACTCCCAAGATAATATCTGTTCAAATTTAACAAGAATTTCAGGTCATTATAATAAAAAGATTCAAATAGAAAATATATTTAACTATCATAAAAATTTTGAAACCTTCAAGTCTTGAGTGAATATGATACGAAGTTGACCTTCACGAACAACACGAAGCTGCTCATATACACTCTCTTGAACTGCTTTTGCATATTCTAACATCATCGCACCTGAACGAGATCTAATTTCACGTGGCAAGTCCAGAAACAAAAGTTCATCAATCACTCCACTGCCAAATTTGATTTCATTAAGTCTAGGTAATACTTCATAAGTTGCCTCTGCAAACAAAATCCAGAATGGGCCTTAGATTACAAGATTTACATCATCAAGAATTTAAAGATATAACATACTAATCATCTCATTAACAGGTGCATCCAATGTTACAAGATGTGCATCTTCAACTATTACCGACTGAGATTCACTCAGTTATATTACATTTGATTATTATTGATCACATTTTAGTTCAATTATTTAGTCTAACTTTCAAGTTTAAACTAAAGCTACAATTAGGAATGCGATCACTGGTTACTGGGTCAGCACTGACTGGCACTGGATACAAGTCATCGAGAAAGTTAAACAAAATTAAATACAAATCAGAATTATAGAAAGAAATTAAAATTTCCACAATCATATACTAGAGAATAACAACATAAGGGCCACTTTGCTTTGGTTCAATTTGATAAAGCACCTTCTGTTCTCATTCATTACTTTCAAAAATATTTACAAATATGTCAATCTGTTTTCTCTCTTTCCTATTTTAGAATTTTTTTTGTAGGAAATAATGAAAACAACAACACTACTATTTACAGCTTCTTATACAAATTCTTTGAAAACAGGAAATAAAGTTAAAACAGTAGCATTTTTATAATTATTAATCAGAACAGTAAATGGAAACAGCATAAGTTTTCTCAAGCCATATATAGCCACAATATTTTCATTTTTCATATACTTACCAAATCCCTTTCCAGATTTAGAACCACATAAGTCACACTGCCATGCATCCTGAACAATGAAATATCCATGTCAGAGTATGTAATCATCAAAGATTCAAAAGCACCAACAGATTAAATGGGCAAAATGCAAAGTACTTACCATAGCTGCTTGGGGGAAGACACCAAGTGCATGATGTCCAACATTGCTATATAATGACAAGCACCACCGTTTCTTTGCACGAGGAGAGTAATATTCAGCAACAAATTTTCTCCAATAGGCAATAGTATTATCCTGAAGCAAACTTTATAATTCAATAACAGTTTAAACTAATCTAGAACTTTAAAATACCCAGAACATAAAACAAATGTGTTGAGATATAATATAATAAACTATAATGTTAAGTTCCTGAAATAAAAGCAGTAATCTAAAAAAGGAAAACAAAAATAAACAGATAATGAGTCTCAAATATATTTAACACTCAAGATAGATTATCACAAGCAGTAAATAAACAGAACTCACATTTGGCCGTTGCCTTTGATGATAGAGATACTGCATCAATCGACGGGCACATACCCCACTAACACCACTGTCATATGGATGCTTGACAGCAGGAGAGGGCTGCATCATTTGTTGCTGTAATTGCTGCCTCAATTGCATTTGTTGTTGTTGTTGTTGTTGTTGTTGTTGTTGTTGTTGTTGTTGTTGTTGTTGTTTCTCTTGTTGAATTCATTGCTTAGTCAACCCAAGAGTTTACTCAAACCTAATCCCTTAGAGAAAGAGCCTAGATGCGGATATTGAATATCAATCCCTTGAGTACCCAATATCTACACCCGCATTATGGGCTAGGGTTTAAGACTACTAATGGGTCAAGCTCTATCCCTAGATACAATCACCACTAGGCATATGTTAAGTCTAGTGGACACTTTGTTGGGGTGGTCTCTTTAGGCTTTTGTTGTGTTGAACTCTGTGTTATGTTGGATGTTGTGCTGATTTGTGTTGAGTAGTTGAGATGTAGTGTGTTGAATGAGTTTTTCATTTTATAGAAGATGCCTAGAGAAAATGAGAAGATAGCCCATGCCATGGAGATGATGGCTATGGCTATGCAACAACAGAATTCCTACTTTGCTAGGATGGATGCTGAGAGAGCTGTGACTGGTGCAGCAAGACTAGTTGGGTCACAAGAGAGTCAAGATTTGGCTGAGTTCAGGAAGTGTAGTCCTCCTCAATTCAGAGGTGATGTAGATCCGGAGGTGGCTGACCATTGGATTTACGAGTTGGAGAAGATATTCTCAGTTCTAGGTTGTTTAGAGGAGCGGAAGCTTGCCTATGCAGTGTATATGTTGACAGGGGAGGCAAAATATTGGTGGAGAGGTACTAGTCAGATGTTGATTGACCGTGGAGTGGTTGTGGACTAGGTGTGCTTCAAGAGGGCTTTCCTCGAGAAGTACTTCCCAGAGAGTGTCAAGCATGCTCGGGAGGTAGAGTTTATGAGATTACAGTAGGGGGGAATGTCGGTGACCGAGTACGCCATGAGATTCGAGCACTTGGCACGCTTCTACACCCAAGCCACCTTTGAGGCTTGGAATTGTAGGAAGTTTGCTGAAGGCTTGAAGTATGATTTGAGGAGAGTGGTGGTGCCTATGGCCATCATGGAGTTTCTAGCCTTGGTAGAGAAGGAGAAGGTTGTAGAGCGGTTAGAGAGCGTCAACAAGCCGACGAAGACTGTTGGTGGGCCAGCTAGGTCCAAGAGTGGTGGTGGTTCTCAGAGAAAGCCTTATGATAGGCCCCAATCACAGCAAGGGGGTCCTGTCACAAGGAAAGCTACTGACACAGCTAGGAGTGGGGTCAGAGTAGAGTTGCTACTCTTAGATGTTACAGATGTGGTGGACCTCACTTCATTCCTGATTGTCCTCATACTAAGAGAAAGTGCTTTAGGTGTGGTTAGATGGGTCACATGTCGACTAGTTGTCCTGCAGGTGCTAGACAGACCAGGAGTTCCCCAAGAGGTGATAGATCTACCATAGCTGGGAGGGTGTTTGCCTTGACCGGAGCTGAAGCTTCCACTTCATCTGATCTAGTGAAGGGGAAGGGTAAAGCTACTGGTAAGGATGTGATGATATTTTTGACTCAGGGCCTCCCATTCATTTATTTCATAGGCATGTGCTGAAAAGTTGGGTTTTCTTGTATGCAATTTAGGGTTGAGACTGCTTGTGTCTATGCCTGCTTCTATTTCTGTTGTTGCCTCTAAGATATGTGTTGGTTGTCCCTTGGAGATGTGTGATAGAAAGTATAAGGTAAACTCGATCTGTTTGCCTTTAGTGGATATTGACATAATCTTAGGGATGGATTGGTTATCTGTCAATCACATTCTTATAGATTGTGCCAATAGGGAGTTGATTTTTCCCTTAGGGGAAAGATAAATTGTTGATTTCAGCCAGCCAAGCTGAAGTGATGTTGAGAGATGGAGTAGAGTGTTGTATTTTGCTTGCTGTTATGAGTGTGAAAACTGAGAAGGTGATCAATAGGTAGGAGTTTTGAGGGAATTCCCGAAGGTGTTTTGGATGAGGTGCCTGGGTTACCTCTTACTAGGGAGATTGAGTTTAGCATTGATCCAGAGATATTATTTGAAGTAAATGACATAGGTGATGCAGGTAATCTTAAGTATGAATCTGTGTTAACACTGGCACTTCTCTGCAAATGGGGGCCACCAGAGAGAGCAGAATTTGCATCTGTGACTAAAGAACTGGCTCCGACACTAGGTGCTGAGTTTGCCACACTGTTCAAAATTGCATTGTTCATATCACCAGAAACCGGACCAAGGTTTGAACGACCAGCTCCTGGAACTGTGCTAGATGAGTTAACAAAAGATGAGCTCAAGTGAGAATTAACTACATTTTGTGACTGCCCATCCCCTTGAAAAAAAATTCCAGAATTTGATGATGATTGGGTTAACCCTCCTGCCACCCTGGAAGGTGTCATGGGAGGCATCCCCCCTTGGTGACTGGAGTCTAAGTAGCTCTCCAGGGCCAAACCTAACTGGTACTTTAAATATTCTCAAATAGCTGATGAACTCTATATAACAGACAGGATAGCGAACAAAACCCTGTTAGTATTTCTTCTATATCTCAAATATCCAAGCTTCAGTCTATCACACAACCTTTAAACAAATACAAAAAAGCCCGTTCAGCCAAATGCACCCAAAATTGTACTCACTTCTCAACACTGGACAATTGCTGAAATGAATCTAACAACAAGGAAAATAACATACATACATACATATTCAAAAGCACAAGGAAAACCCCAGCTATAAATAATAAAATTAAGTGATCAAACAAACCCTAATTTAGAAGCATCACTTTTTAAAACGCCAACAAATTCACAAATTAACAAACACCTCAATACCCTTTTCCGGGAAGAAATACCACAACCCAACAAGTTCACTCAATGAAACATATTTTAAAAGTCTTTACCTCCACAAAGGAGAGGATGTTACTTCAAAGAGAAAAGTGAGGCGACAGTTAACACTGTAATAAAATGCATGCTAATGGAAAACAATAAAGATGTCTAAAGTGAATCGGAACCCAAATCCGTATCTTATTAACATTAGAACAATAGTCTCCACGAAAAGATCAATAATTCAACATCAAGAAGAGGAAAAAACACCAAAATCCGCAGCTCATAATTCACACATTCCAAAAACCCAAAATCCAAAGCCACATTAAAAACCTAACTAAGAAACCGAAAAAAACGAAAGAGGAGCCCCAATTTAATTCCCAACATGCACAAAAATTCAGAAACATCAAAACCTGTGTCTTAACCCAAATACGATAATAAAGTCCCAACTCGCATCCCCAAACAACGGAAAAAGGCAAACCTTAAACCCAACACCGCAAAAATTGAAAGAAGAAAAAAATGAAACAAATAATTTATTACTCTCAACACAATTTTAAAATACAAAAAATTAACGGGTTCAAGATCGATCAGGGGCAAAAAAGTTTAAAAAAAAAAAAAAAAACAAATGAAGCTCGGAAAACAGTTCAGTATCAAAACGCATCGTTTAGAAACTACTTACAGCTAAACCGCGAGCTGGAAAAAGCGAAGCGTCGCTTTACGAAAACGTAATGAATTGAAATCACAGAGAATAAAAAAGAAAGAAGTGAGAGAGAGAAACAAGTGTTTTTATAACAGTCTGGGAGTGACCGCTTCTACCGGTCACGCGCTACAACGTTACCTGCAGTAACCAGTCACGATTGGGACACGTGTCGAGAAAGTGATAGTAGAGATTATTGGGCGTTAGATCCGCAGCCGCTCGGAGACTGAATTGCTGACATGGCGATTTCTGATTGGAAAGACTTAGATGTACATAGAAACTGTGCGTAGGTAATTTTGACTCTGACTAATGAATTTGGAGTGTAAAAGTCGTTCAGTGTCTTGTCTTCCCTTTTATTTTTGGGCGGTAAGATGATATTATTCATTTTTTAGTCTTACGGGAGTCTAATTTTAGCATAAGGATTGCTTCTATTTTGAAATTCTTCATAGCTCAAAATTAAATGATGGTATACCATTTTGAGGTACATGATTTTTTATATTTAAATTTTTAGGAAATATTTTAAAATATTTTTTTAACCTCAACTTTTTTCTGGGTTGTTATTGATCACGAGGCTCAAAAGTACCTCAACAAAATCAGACGATCCCATATAGGTAAGAACTTTTTGCCTACTATAGACGATGTTTATATGTTAAAGCCTTAAAGGACTACAACATTCAAGCCTTGCCTCAGTTGTCCCACTTTTCTTCCTCTGTCTGTAATTGTAACTGCGATGCGAGGCAAGTATTTGAGCTTTTGAAACTCAACTAGTATGATAACTTTGGCAGGACATCTTAATTTGTAATATACCAGGTAACACTTCTTTCATTGTCAATGGTATTGATCAAACTTAATTGACACGAAATTTAAGTGCCGTATAAAAATCTAACTTTTGTTTAAATTGTCCAATAGATTACACTTGCAGGACAAAAACGCTCAAATAAAATCTCTAAAAAACCTACTCGAGTTCGAGTCCAAACAAATTCCATCAAGAAAACTAAAGTGAAAACCAAAGAAAAAAGCAGCAACTATTTAAAGTATCCTGTACAATGATAATAAACACATCAACATGATAAGCCAATAACATAACCAAGTTGTGTTAGTCATGCCTTCCAGCCGAAGCCCATGTTATCATCAAGATCACTGTGAAAGTAGGTATTATCTGCAAACTCATGGCCAATCTCCGGTATCATATCTTGCAAATGCAGATTTTGTGGCATCTCGGATGTTCTCGGGTTGAATCCATTGTTGCCACCGGCTGCAGAAGAATCTCCATTTGAAGTAGTTTTGAAGCTATTATTCCTTGAAATGGGTCCATTGTTTCCTAAAACGTTGGCAGAACCCCCTCCGCTTACAGTTGGAGTATGGCCCCCAAAACCCAATGCATTCTTCGCCATATTCCCATTTGCATTGGGTCCACCAAGAGATTGTGGTTGCATTCCCCCATTGTTATTTGACATCTCCTGCAGCAGGTGCTGGATCACCTGCTGCTGCTGTAGAGCTTGATTTCCTTGGGACCCCTGCGAAGTATTTTGTTGCAGTAAACTATTTGCACTTAATGTGCGCTGTTGAAGGAGTTGTTGTTGCTGCTGCTGCTGTGGGGTTAGATGGGGACTTGGAAAACCACTACCAGGAGAATTCTGCATTGAGCCTGGATTTAGAGCGGGACCAGATCCTTGAAGAGCAGAAGAGGGACTCGGGCTTGAATTATTGAAAGAGGGCCCTTCTCGCTGAAGTGAGCCAGGGCTGGAATTCATAGAATTTTGCCTCATGAGAAGATTCTGGTAGCTGTTCAGTGCTAAAGCAGCTTGGGCTGACCCACTCAAACCACCACGATTAACCATATTATGAGTGTTGTTCATATGATTGTTCGATCCAGGATTCAGTGCCATTAGCTTATTAAGTGTGTTTCGATCAGTTGGCAGACCTTGAACACTTGCTATCTGTTCCATTTCTTGCATCTTTTGCATCTGGATCTTTGAGGTTGTTGCAAGCCGAGGATAGTTTTTCAAGCTCTCTGCAGATAAATGTTGGATTAGTATACAAAGGCAAAAGACAATGAAAACAGATTTCAAACAACCTAAAATAGAAACAGCTTAGTACAACTAAAGATTAGGAGTCCAATAAGAGAAAAAGATGACATAAAACCACAAGCAAATTACCAATTGCCCCAATTTTGTGATCTGCACAGATATCTATTAGGTCTTTCATGCTATTGACGACCTCCGAAATCTGTCAAATATGGTAGCACACAATTATAAGGATTGAAATAGTACATAGAATAAGAAGTAAATATTTCTCCCTATGCTACTCAAAACTAAACAGAAACTTTGAACTGGAATTTAATAACATACCTGCAAACATCTCACATATCTTTTAGAAAAGCCCAGGTCATTTAGCGATTGCAACTCTAAAATCTTTGCAAGCTGACGTCCAGTTGTCAATACCCTAATGCAAAATAAACATTATTACAAGCTTTAGTCCAGCCTCATAATAGCTGTTAACATATACTATCCTAACCGCACCAAACATATCAATAAAAATATGACACAATAGATATACTTTTCTAGTTTTCTTATTCATTGGACTAGTAAATGCCGTACAGACTGTTTCAACACAACACTTAATAACCAAGGGTAGCTTATAAAAAGCCAAACAATAGAAAATAGTTTTCTTTTGGGCTAAAATAGTATTTTAGTCCCTTATAATAATTGTTTGTTTTAATTTAGTCCTACTTTTATTTTTTGTCTCAATTTGGTCTCTAATAAATTAATTAGTTGCAATGTCGGACTTCCGTCCAAATTATTTAAACGGAGTTAAATGTTGGCCACGTGAATGTCACGTAGATGCATAGGTAAATGCCACGTGGATGCCAAATTTTTTTAAAATACCTGGAATCAGAACGGCCCGAACGGGCCGTTCTGGATGCACTTTTGGTGTGTTAATTTTGCATCCGGAACGGCCCATTCCAGGTGCAAAATTAACACACCAAGAGTGCAACCAGAACGGGCCGTTCTGGTTCCAGACTGCTAAACAAAAACGGTCAATGATTATAGTTCACGGTTGTAAATCGTGGAAGGAAAAAGACCCAAGGTACAAAGCATTTCAAACACTGGATTTGGTAATATTATTAATGAAAATTGATAACTTCAATTGCTAAACAGTTAGGCTATACAATGTATCATTAAGGACAATGCAGTGTATCACTAAGGACAATGGCAGCAGATTTTATTTCATTGTTAGTCAAACTGAAATGAATCACTTACTACCAAATTGACACTATACAGTAAAGGATGAAATGACATGGTATTTTTCCTTAAAGTCATTAACGATGTACCCCAACAACAACAACCTGTTCTTGAAGAGGTAAAACCTGAAGTAAAGGAAGAGGATGCACGGGGCTAACATTTCACCACACAACCACATGCAGGGAAGGATCTAAGTTAATCATATTGGGGGCACTTGCCCCACTAAAATTTTTTTCATTCTTTTTTTTATATATAAAATATTAATAATTTTATAAAATATATATTATTAATTATATTTTAATTATGTTGTTATATCTAATATAATAAATACATTAATATTTTTTTATATTTTATTTTATTGTTTAATTATTTTTTATTTTGTGATAAAATTATCTTCATTTTTATCACTCTAATTTTAAATAAGTTGCAAAAAATTATAAAATGACACTTAAATATTTTTTCAGATAGAAAGAGAAAAAGGAAAACTTATCACTATATCTATAAGACAATTGTATTTTATAAAAATAAGTAATTTTAAAATTTTTACAATAAAATATTTTTCAAAATTATTATATTTTTTAATAAAATTAATATAGAATATACTATTGTTCTCACGCGTTTTGGAACGGGCCGTTTTAGATACAAAATTGACACACCAAGAGTGCACCCAGAACGGCCCGTTCTGGTTTCAGAACGGGCCGTTCTGGTTCTAGGTGTTTTCAAAAAATTTGGCATCAACGTGGCATCCACCTATGCATCTACGTGACATCCACGTGGCCAACAATTAATTCCGTTTAAATAATTTAGACGGAAGTCTAACATTGCAACCAATTAATTTATTAGAGACCAAATTAAGACCAAAAATAAAAGTGGGACTAAATTGAAACAAACAATTATTATAAGGGACCAAAATAGGTTTTTAGCCTTTTCTTTTGGTTAGATAACTACAGAATATGGTTAACAAAAGGGAAGCAAAATCACAAATTCTAATATATGCTTAAGATGGCATGAGATGCTAATAGTTTAGAATAATATCTGTCATAAACCGACTGCATAACTTAAAGATCTATGTTAAAAAAATGATATTTTTGTAGAGAACCAGAATACAAGCAAGCATGCCAACAAATGAAAATCTTATACTACAGCTAGATCTTTTAATTTCTTTGTTTGGTTATTGACAAATTGACATGGAATAGTATAAGTACTTTTTACTGAAGTAGAATTTTGCATAAAAAGTAAACTGAAACATGCAAAGCCCAAAAGAGCTCGCATCACCTTGCCACTAACAGCTCTTGTGCCACCAAACCCAACAAAAGAAGAAGAAAAGATGACATTCAGAGAAGCCCATACATGTAGCAAAATAATATTTTGCGTCATATTTTCCTTTCTAGAATTGTTTCTACATCTATCCAGCCAAAAAATAAAAAATAAAAATGCACCATACCAAAATTACAAAAAAACATAAGGCATGTAATCAACAGATATATATTAACTGAGAAGGATTTACCAAATACGCCAATCACAAAGGAAAAAGTACATTAACGTACATGTTGCTGTTAGTTTGTAAGTCTTGCTGAGAAACCCCATCTGCCCCACTTTCAGCAATTGTACTCTGGCATTTTTGAGCCAACTGAACTAATTGGTTGACCTACAAAAGAGTGAATTATATGAATTAGCTTCCAAAACAATACACCTACATTACCATAACAATCAACTTTACTTCAGACAGGTGAGCATTATTTTGTGCCAATCATCAGACGCATTCAAAACAACTAGTACATTATGGGTAACTTTCATCTTTAATTTCCTTGATCACCAGATCCACTTCATAAAATAAGAAACTTTACTTAATGCCTACCAATTTCCATATACCCAAATGTCTATATTACTATTGTCACCATTTAGTACTTATCATTTGTGCATACAATCACAAGAAATATGATGCAAAGAAAACACAAGCATACAAGGAGTTAACTATACAATCATGAACACATGCAGAATTTGCAGAGTTTTTCTGCAGAAGTATTCCAAAGTTTCCAAACATGCAAAGTAAACAAAAGTAGACCCACACTATTAATTAAATCAGACAATAAATGAATATTTACTTTAACTGCCAAATAGCACCATCATCTATACAAAATAAAGAGTGGTTACAACCACGGAATAGATCAATCTAAAGAATGTAAAATCATACCTGAGGTGCAACCAACCTTCGAGGAAGAAGTTCTTCATGGCGCCTTGCACAGAACTCCCAAGACAGTATCTGTGCAAATTTGACAAGAACTTCAGGAGGTCATTTAATTTTAAAAAAAAATAAAATAGAAAAGATATTTAACAATAATAAAAATTTTGAAACCTTCAAGTCTTGAGTGAATATGATTCGAAGTTGACCTTCACGAACAACACGAAGCTGCTCATATACACTCTCTTGAACTGCTTTTGCAAATTCTATCATCATTGCACCAGACGGAAATCTTTGTTCACGTGATGAGTCCAGAAACAAAAGTTCATCAATCACTCCACTGCCAAATTTGATTTCATTAAGTCTAGGTAATACTTCATAAGTTGCCTCTGTAAAGAAAATCCAGAATGGTCATATTAGATTACAAGATTAACATCAGAAATTAAATAAATAACAAGCTAATTATCTAGTTTGCAGAAACATCCAGTGTGCAAGCTGTGCATCTTCAACTATGACAAACTAATAAGCACTTGGTTATATTAGATTTGATTATTATTGACAGCATTTTAGTTCAGTTAACTTTTTCTAACTTTCAAGTTTAAATAAAGTTACAATTAGGAATGTGTTCACTGGTTACTGGGTCAGCACTGACTGCACTAGTACTAGTCAACCAGAAAGTTAAAAAAAAATGAAATACAAATCAGAACTTTATAATGAAATTAAATTTCCACAATCATATACTATATAATAACGACATAAGGGCCAGTTTGGTTTGGTTTGCTTTCATTTATTACTCTCAAAAATTACAAATATGTCAATTTGTTTTCTCTCTGATACAAATAGTGAAAACAACAAAACTCCTATTTACAGCTTCTTATACAAATTCTTTGAAAACAGGAAATTAAGTGAAATGAAAGTAACATTTTTATAATCATTTATCAGAAAAGTAAATGGAAATAGAAAAAGTTTTCTCAAGTCATATAGCCCCAATATTTTCATTTTTCATATACTTACCAAATCCCTTTCCAGATTTAGAACCACACAAGTCACAATGCCATGCATCCTGAACAAAGAAATAACCATGTCAGTATGTAATCATCAAATACTCAAAAGTACCAACACTAGTATAAAGGCATTCTTAGGAGTTGTCAACAATTACATGATAAGCAAATTCAATCTATTAACATTTTGAATGTACGATTGAATAATTGATCATTTGCAAATATTAAGCCAGTATACTATTTTTAAGAAAGAAACACAACTATATAAGAATAACAAATGCAAAAAACTTACCATAGCTGCTTGGGGGAAAACACCAAGTGCATGATGCCCAACGTTGCTATATAATGACAAGCACCACCGTTTCTTTGCACGAGGAGAGTAATATTCCGCAACAAATTTTCTCCAATAGGCAATACTATTATCCTGACGCAAAAAGAATAATTCAATAACAGTTTTAACCAATCCAGAACTTAAAAAATACCCAAAATATAAGTGTTCAGATATAAAATATAATAAACTATCTTGATAAATTCCTGAAATAAAAGGAGTAATCTTCAAAAGAAAACAAAAATAAACAGATATTATTATGAATGTCAAATATATTTAACACTCGAGATAGGCCATCACATGCAGCAAACATACAGAACTCACATTTGGCCGTTGCCTTTGATGATAGAGATACTGCATCAATCGACGTGCACAAACCCCACTAACACTACTGTCATATGCACGCTTGACAGCAGAAGAGGGCTGCATCATTTGTTGCTGAAATTGCTGCCTCAATTGCATTTGTTGCTGTTGTTGTTGCTGCTGCTGTTGCAACTGCGCTCGTTGTAATTGTGGCATCGACTGAAACATTTGCTGTTGTCTCAGTCTCTGCTGCTGTTGAAGCAAAGCCTGTAACTGTGGATTACGACCCTGTAATTGCATGGAATCTTGTCTCTGAAGAATCTGCTGAAGAACCTGTTGCTGCATTATATCTTCCTGTTTGATATCCAGTCTAGGTTTCTTTGACAAATGAGACATATTATTTGGATCTTGAATGAAAGATCCTGGGACTTGTGCACTCATTTGAAGGGGAGAAAGACCAGTTTGAGATGCAGGCAAAGATGTAGCACTTGAAGCACCATGCGGCTGCTGCTGATTAGGCTGCAATTGTTGAGCATTTTGTTCTTGATGAGAGCTCTGTTGTACTACAGAGGAACCATCAATCACTGATGACCCAGAGATATTATTTGAAGTAAATGACATAGGTGATGCAGGCAATCGTAAGTATGAATCTGTGTTAACACTGGCACTTCTCTGCAAATGGGGACCACCAGAGAGAGCAGAATTTGCATCTGTGACTAAAGAACTGGCTCCGACACTTGGTGCTGAGTTTGCCACACTGTTCAAAGCTGCATTATTCATATCCCCAGAGACTGGACCCAGGTTTGAGCGACCAGCTCCCGGAACTAAGCTAGACGAATTAACAAAAGATGAGCTCAAGTGAGAATTAACAACAATCGTCGACTGCCCATCTCCTTGAAAGAAAATTCCAGAATTTGATGGTGATTGGGTTAACCCACCTGCCACCCGGGAAGGTGTCATGGGAGGCATTCCCCCTTGACGACTCAAGTCTACGTAGCTCTCCAGAGCCGAACCTAACCGTTATTTAAATATTTTCAAATAGCTGTGAACGCTGGGCAAAAGACAGATAGCGTACCAAACCCTGGTAGTATTTCTTCTATATCTCAAATCTCCAAGCTTCACTCCATCAGGCAACCTTTAAACAGATCAACGAACTCCAGTTCAGCCAAATGCACCCAGAATCGTTATTCACTTCTCAACACTGGATAATCGCTGATATGAATCTAACGACACAAAGAAAATAACATATATACATATTCATCAGCACAAAGAAGGAAAACCAATAACCCAAAAATTCACTTTTTAAAAATTAAATTAAATGACCAAACAAACCCCGGTTTCGAAGCATCACTTTTTTTAAAAACACGCCACTAATTGACAAACCCCAATACAGTTTTCCAGGAAGGAAAACCACAACCCAACAATTTCACTAAATGAAACCTAATTCTAACGGCTTTTCCTCCTCTAAGGAAAGGAATTCACTTCAAAGAGAAAAGAGAACAACACTGTAATGAAATGCATGCCACTGACAAACAATGAAGATGTCCAAAGTAAATCAGAACCCCAATCAAATTATTGTTATTATTAACATTAGAACAATGGAGCCTAAAATTCAGAAACATCAAAACCTGCGGCGTAACCCAAACACAATAATAAAGTCCCAACTCCCATCCCCAAACAACGGAAAAAGCAAACCTTAAACCGAACACCGCAAAAATTAAAGAAAAAAAAGAAAGAAAAGAAGAGGAAACAAATAAATAATATTACTCTCAACACGAATTTAAAATACAAAAAATTAAAGGGTTCAAGATCGATCAGTAGCAGAAAAATTGAAGGAAAAAGAGACACCAATGAAGCTCGCAAAACAGTTCAGTGCTAAAACGAATCGTTTAGAAACTACTCACAGAGAAAGCGCGAGCTGCGAAAAGAAGCGAAGCGTCGCTTTTTGGAGACGTAATGAATTGAAATAGCAGAGAATAAAAAAGAAAGTAGTGAGAGATGGAGAAACAGGTTTTTATAACAGTGTGGGAGTGACCGCTTTTACCTGTCACGCGCTATCGCGTTACCTGCAGTGACCGGTTGCGATCGGGACACGTGTCGCGAAAGTGATAGTAGGATCAGTCGGTGATGGATCCGCAGCGGCTCGGGGACTGTAATGCTGACGTGGCGAGTTTTGATTGGGAGATAGTTATTTATGTAGAGAAACTGTGCGTAGGTAATTTTGACTCCCCGTATTGGATTTCGTTTGGTGTGTAAAAGTCCTTCGGTGTCTTATCTTCCAATTTTTTATTTTTCTTTTGAGCGGTAAAATTAAGTAATTTTATTTTGTTCTCAAATTTTAGGCGGAAACGAATTTAACCGGAGGATTACTTTTATTTGTACCAGTTCGTGGAACCTGCACAAAATTGATGGAAATAATATTAATTAATTTAAATTTATTTTAAATATATTAGTTAGGATTGTTAAAAAGATTTCATAAGTATATCCATAGAAAAAAATCAATAACAGGTAAAAGATGGGTAGTAAACAGTTATCTATAAGTAATGTGAATGGATATTTTTTATTATCTTATGTTAATGGATAGAATATAGGTATCTTATTTGTATATGTGGATATCAGTGTCGGTTAATATTTAGTTTATTTAAATTTATATAAATTTAATTTTATTTGAATTAGTATAAATTTAGTTTTATTTAAATTTTGTTTGACATAGTTAATTATTGTATTTTATTATATGTAATCAAAATATTTTATTTTAATAATTATTATTTGGGCTTTAAATTTACGTTTACAATTTACTTATTGTTATTAATATAATTGTAAAAAAAAATATTTAAATTTTAATTTTATAATATTTAAAATTTTTTTTAGGTTTTATTTAAATTTTACTTATAATCCTCAAACTTTTTTTTACTAGATTCTTATAACTTTTAAAAGAAAAAAAATTATTATAAATAACTGAAGTATATAGTTAAAATATTTTATTGAATATTTTAAAATATTTTTTTTTTAAATATCTACGAGTACTCATGAATATTTATGAATAGTAAAAAAATATTCAACCAATACTTACTTGGATATGAAAACAAATACAAGATATATATTTATCTAATAAAAAGGATAGCAGAAAGCTATTATTCGTATTCATCTCGTCTCTAACATCCTTATATTAATATTATATGAATATATTAAATTTAATGGGTGTAAAATTTTAAATTAATGAAGTGATAATAAAACTATACATGTAGGTGATGTAACCAAATTTCTATCTTACAAGTCAATGAAAATATTAAAATATCAATTAAAAATATATTTCCATAAATTCATACTATAATTACCGGTTAAAAGATATAAAAAAAATAAGAATAAAAATAATTAAAAAAATCCAGCATGTTTGTATATTTTTTGTTGCTAAAAACTCAATTCATCACACCATTTCTAATTTTTTCTTTCAATTCTTACAAAAAGAAAAAACTGTAGGTTATACTAACTACCAAAATGTCTCATCTTTTTTAATTTATAAATGTTTGATGACTCGTTACTTATTGTTAATAGGGAACAAAATATAAATAACACAATCAAAATAACAACATGAAAAATAATATATGAATTTATAATCTAAGGACAAAAAATATAGAAACAACATTAATTGAGGTGATCGATGAGAAGTGAATCTCTTAAGTTGAAGTATATATATATATATATATATAGAGAGAGAGAGAGAGAGAGAGGAGGGTTCAAACACTGGTGTAATTTTTACTAAGTATTACACTACTCAATAATTTTATATTAAATGTGAGTTTTGTAAATCTAACCGTTAGCTTGAAAATTTATATCACTTTATATGTGTGTATCAAATTTTGTTAAAATTGAACAACAACTTGAGAGCAATCAAGATGTTCATATTTTAGTATATTTTAAAATAAATATATTACATCAATTTTTTTTATAAGAATGAAGTATCAAATCATCTTGGATTAATATAAAATTTTGTATATATGATCTAAGAGTAAAGAACTTTCAATCTAACGATTAGATTTACAAAATTCACATTTAATATAAAGTTATTAAATGGTTTAACACTTAGTAAAAGTTACACCGGTGACATTTGAACCTAGTATTTTGATAATTTCAAATGTGATCTTAGATCACTCAATCCATAAAAACTCAATAACCTAATCAAACAATTTTTGCAACCTCAAATTTAACAGAGCAAAACTCTAAATTCTTAAAAATATTAATAATAAAATATATTTTTTTACATGGTGAAATGATTTAATTTGTCTTGTCCCACACTTGTGTTTTTCATCATTTGTCATCTTCTACCACTTATGATCTCACCTACAAATAAACAATCGGCCTTTGGAGTTCAAGTCATGACAGCATCTAGTAGTTGAAGTCAATGATATCTCATATTATATATATATATATATATATATATATATATGTGTGTGTGTGTGTGTGTGTGTGTGTGTGTGTGTGTGTGTGTGTAAATTTATAATCAAATGATATACGATGAAATAGACACAAAAATCTAAAGTAATACATGTAATTTCAATGAAAATGAAGAAAGAGTTATACGAAGATAACTTTAGTTTGTTCATGATTGATATATATATATATATATAGAGAGCGAGAGAGAGAGAGAGGAGAGAGAGGCAATAAGTTTAGGATTCATAGATGTAACCTACATTTGATTTTCTCATTTTTTGGTAACTAAATGTTTCATTAAGAACATGGACAAGTGCATAATGTCTCTTCTCAATTTTTTATAATTGATTGCTTTATTAAAACATGGATAGATGCATAATATGAATAGGTGTGAATTTAATGCATATCGGGAACATTAACACGTGGAGAATGTTAATGAGTATAATTTAAATGTATATTTCAATTTTCAAATTCAATTAATAACATGTAGTTAATAAGATAACAAATTATTGAATGGAGAATGTTGAGTTTGAGTTCGAGTGGGAAAAAGAAGTTAGACAACTTCTTCGCATTATATATATGTGTATTAAGATTTAAGGATTAAAATTTTGTGCTACATATAAATTTTTGTATGATACTTGGGGTATAGGTTGAGTGTGCAGAAAAAAAAATAGAATGAACCGATTTAAATTTGAAATGGAATCACACCATTTAAAAAAAATCATAACCAATTTGAAAATAAAAACAAACAAATTGCATTATTTATATAAAATGAATTTTAATAACTAAACCACATTGATAATTAGGTTTGTTGCACTAGTGTTGTGACATTCTCTACCCTGCATGTCAAAACACATAATATAAAAAAAACAATTGAAATATCTCAATATAATAAATAAACTCAATTTATACGGGTAGAAAGAATCACATTTTAGCCTATAATAGACTTAGTAAAAATATCAAATTACAAAGAAAATAAAATCAACCATCCAACATAAATGAAATCCTAACTTGTCCTAACTAATTTCCTATGTCATGTATCCTATCAGAGAAAAATCCAACATTAAGAATTAAGGCTCATCACCAACATCTTCAGCATCATGTTGATGATCACCTGTAACAATCATAAGAAAACAACACAAAATAGAAAGGGAGTAGGAATGCAAATTGGTTAGTCAAACACAAATAACACATAATCATCACATATCATACACAATTACACATTATCATCATACTTAGCTCATCCACAACATAATAAACAACAACAAATATAATGATAATGCATATGCAATGGACACGAACTACATGTTATCATGCATATGGTGTCAATAAAAACATCACACTTGTGTAGTGCTGCTAGCAACACACTAGAGTAGTCTAAGCATACACGTTGGGTCACACCCTCTATGCATTCTCACTATAAGAACATACTATCAAAGTCTAGTCAGGATAACTAAGCCGCACTAGATACATCTCATGCTCATGAAGATCGGATTGGGACTTCTAAATCGACTTATCCCCAAGGTTAGTTCCTAAGCTTTTGCACAGGGGACCTTCTTTGGCAGTATATTCCATATCATACCTTTCAAAAATATTTTATGCATATGATGCATGACAAACAGACTCTATACATTATATTTTATTCTCTAAAATAAAATCTCACACTTCATGTGCCCAATCCGAATGAAGGCACCAGAAGATTTGTCTACAACCTATCCTTAATAACTAGCCAAAAAGGCAAGACTTATGGATCATAAGAAATAGATATAAAGATGAAATGTTGCCTCAGCCTCCTACAAATTATTGTGTTCAACATGACTATGCTATACAAATCTTTGGCCAAATGTATTGAATTTGAGAATTATGGTACTTGATTCCTTAAAATTTTTCATTGATCATCAACTACAACAAGACCAGAACCAAGCAATGCACCCAAGATAATTTGCTCCCAACGTCTCACATCTCTCTACACTATGCTTGAGGTTATCGTCCGTAGTTGTGACGAATTACTAGAATCTCTTCTCCATGATGATGATGAAGAAGACGTATAACAATCTTTCTGAGAATGGTATTTCAAGGTACACTTCCCTAATGGATGATGAATTTTAACATCAAACACCGGCGAAAGTGGTTGTCCAGTGACTTGAACATGTGCGATGCTGCACATAGTAATTTAACTTGTCAATGATGGAAAACAAATGGTAATTCATTCTTGAAATAAAACATCATTTGATATTAAGAAATCGAGACAAACTTGAAGACATGGAAAATTTAATCAAGTTGGAACTTGGAAACAAGTAACAACACTACTGATAATATGACCTATTTGGAACTCTTCCAAGTATGTGTCCAAACAGTCTCACAAGCAATGAAGTAACAAAAAGAATTCAAAAAGAAACAAGTTACAATTTTTCGTCTCATCAAGAGTACATGATGAATTATTCAGAATCAGGTGTAGATGGTAGTATGGCATTTAACATTGGGATTTGCTAACATACACTTACTTAAAATTTAGTTAGAATACCTTAGCAAGGAATAACTAGGATTATTTTA